GGGGTGCCGGGGGGGGCTCAGACATAGTTCTTCTTGTCGTAGCTGGTGACGGCGGAGCGTGGGGCGGAGTAGGCCACCTTGCCGGTGGGGTACCTGTCGTCTTTGGGGGGGCAGGAGCAGCAGAGCAGGGCCCCCCCCAGCAGCAGGAGGGCGGAGGCCGCCCAGCCCGCGTAGAGCGAGGTGCCCAGCTCCCGCTTCTGCGCGTCGAGCACCAGCGGGTTGTAGAAATCCCGGATGATGGTGTTGGCCGACCAGGAGACGGGGATGAGGGTCATGACGCCGGAGAGGAGGAAGATGACGCCGGAGACGATGGTGATCTTGGCTTTGGTGCTCTCGTCCTCCACGCAGCGGGTGCACTGGGCGCCCACGATGGCCACCAGTAAACCCAGGACGGCCAAGACGATGGCCACCACCAGGAGGGCGCGGGCGGCTTGCAGGTCCTGCGGCAGGGCCAGCAGGGAGTCGTAGACCTTGCACTGCATCTGCCCCGTGCTCTGCACCACGCAGTTCATCCACAGCCCTTCCCAGATGATCTGGGCCACCACGATGTTGTTGCCGACGAAGGCCGTCTCCCGCCACATGGGCAACGCGCAGCAGAGGATGCAGCACAACCAACCCAGCACCGACAAGGCCACCCCGCCGATCTCCAGCCCCATCGACATGGTGGCTGGTTCGCTGCCGCGCTCTGGACGATGGCGGAGAAGAACCCACGGACCGAAACCGTCGCCGTCACCTGTCGCCGCTTGCAGCCCTTGGGGGATCGGCTTACACCTGGGTGCACCTGCGCTTATAAGGGCTGGCGGGGCCAGCTCAAGCGCCCGCCCGGGGTGGGGTTTCGCTGCTGGACGCTCCTCTCCGCTCCTCCGTCACCGTCACCCGCGTCCCACACCCTCCCCTTTGTTTGCAGAGATGGCGCCGGGTTACCGGAGAAGGGCGGGAGGGAGAGAGACGCCACCTGCCACGGCCATCCCCTTGGTTTCGGGGCGATGAGTACCGGGAAGCACGGCCACCATGCTCATTCAGACCCACCGAACCCCCTTGGGGACCTGGAAAACCCTCGGCTTCACCATTCCCCCCCGGAGGTGCCAGCGGGTCAGGGTTTGGTTTATTTCTGGAGCGCCTTATCAGTGCTCACGTTTAACCAGGGTTCGGCGAACGCCGGGCACCTTTGCGTTGCCGTGCAAAGTGCAACCCCTTTCGCCATGCGGTGATGCTTTTTGCTCTGGCACCGCCGTCCCAGGGGACCCATGGGCCTGCCCGGCAGGGTGGGAGCGGAGC